AGGGGGATGATAATGTATATCATAATACACATGTACATAGTGTAGGGTTAGAAGTGTTAATATACTTCTATACATCTTGTATATATATGCTAATTATAATCTAATGAAAGTTATAATTCATCCTCAATATTCTTTAGTTTTATCATATCTTAAGAAAGATAAATATTTTTTTTTCTATTTTAACTTTATGATTATCTCTCAACTTACAATTATCCATCATTTGATAAAATATTTTATTTATTTTACTTATTTTTTAAGAGTAAAATAGATAAAAATAAAAATTTGTTCAAAATTTTTTAATATAAAATAAAATAAAAGTTTGTTATTTTGGGATGGAAGGAGTATGAAAATGGTGTTAGGGAAACCTGTAGCTTGGCCTGGATTGGATGAAGAGTTTGAGGCTTGTATTCAAGGGAGATGATGATATGATGGGAACATAATTTGTGCTGGTTTTTTCTTTGTTGTTGACATATTGTTGTATGTACACATATTCATAAAAAATGAAACAATTTCGTTAGATTTTTTTTTTGAGAATAATTCCATGGATATTCTGAGTGATGAAAAAGGAAGATTAAACTCTAATCTCAATTTTAGTTCCTCAACTTTGGTACATGTCTTTGATTTACTCTATAAACTAATTAAATCTCTATTTTAGCCCTTATAATTTTAAATTTTACCTCTTTTTTGTCATTTCCTTAAATTTTAACTTATGTAACATCAAAATCTACTTTTACCTTCAAATAAATGAAGTGAAAATTTCACACAACAAAAATTGATGATATGGATAGAATTTATTATTTATATTGGCGATAAAAAATTATCTAATCACAAAATTATTTTAGATCCCAAATTTGATCCTTAAAGTTTGGTACAAACCATTGATTTGATTCTTAAACAAAATAAATCCCATATTTTGAGACCCAAAGAGCCAAAAATTGCACTTTAAGAACTAAAACAAAGATTTATTTAGTTTAAGGATCAAATTAAGAGCATGTAACAAAGTTAAGGAACCAAAAATTGAGGTTCAACCAAAAATAGAAAGGCTTTGAATTATTGCCACAACTGTGGTGGGTCTTCTTGGCATTTTCAGGGTGGTCCATAGTATTTGTATGTCCTAAAAAGATAAAGCATAGGCGATAGGGTAGATAAGTGGGTCTTTGCAGATTGTCATTTTTTGTTTCTTTGGTTTATATATTAATGTTATCATCGACTTCTGCCGTCTGAATCCTGCAACAATGCACTTGGTTCCTTCCTAGCTTCCCCCTAAAGCATGTCAGGGGAGATGAATAATGAAAGTTTGTTGGGTTGGACTTGGACCTTATCTACCTCCACAGTCCACGCGTGGAGATAAGACTCACTTGTCTTTGTCGGATTTAGCCCACCACCCTTTAAGCCCACCAAATCATGTACTTTTTTTTGGTGGAACAGTAAATCATGTACTTGGAACCCTAAAACCACGGTTGAGTTTGCTGCCA